AAAATTGCTTTAAAACTAACATAATTTTTTTAGCAGTTTAATAAAAAGAAGGCCACCCATTTGATTGCCTATATATTTTATAACATAAGATTTAAAATATAAGAGGAATTTTCAATTACATAATTAAATAAAACACTAAAATATATGCTCCAATCAAATAAAAGATCAAGTGGTAAGAGATAGATCATAGAAGTTAGAGCAAAATTATATAAATAAATATAGGAGTTACAGTATAAATTGTTAAAACTTCAAGTACTAAAAAAATTTATACTTATGTATATATTCCAAAAAATCATAAATGATCAGGACCACAAAGCCAAATATCAAAGATATATTGTGAAAATTTAAGATAGCATAAGACAATAAAGTGACCAACTTAGATGATGACTAAATAATTTGAAGACCAAAATGTAAGTGATAGAATTCTGGTTCATTTGGGATGATTTTCTTACTGTTTTTTAAAACAAATTTTTAGTATAAAAATTTTTTGAACTGGAAAATTTTATACTAAAAAACTGCTTTAAAAAATATAGACAAAGCCGTCTCAAACGAAGATTTAGGCTTCGTTTGGGGTGACTTTCTTACTGCTTCTTAAAGTAACTTTTTAATACAAAAAATTTAATTTTTGTATTAAAAAGCTGCTTTAAGAAGCAATAAAAAAGCCGCCCCAAACAAAGCCTTAGTTATAGTCAAATCATAGTTGTATCATGCATGACAAACGAACAATCTAAACAAGCTAAATCACCCATAGAGAAAACATAAACCACAATTCTAAGAGGACTGCAATGCCCAAATAAAAAAAAAAATCATAGAAGAAGGTGATGAAGAATGATATCAAGTATATAAATGTGATCAACAAGATGATCAAATCATAATCAATCAGACAAATAAAAAAAAGTCACAATTAGGAGCAATAACCAAAAATAACACTAAAAAATAAATAAGAGCTTAGAATTAGCAAGTTCGAAAATAATCCCAAAACTAAAACCAAATATTTAAAATGTGTAGTCATTTTAATCTAAGTCTAGGCTTTACTGATAAGTCGTATGTTAATAGCTAGAGAGATTATCTAAATGTGATCAATATACATTATCTTGTGTATAATCTTTAATAATTTATATAATTTCTAAAGTTGGGTCAAGCCAAGCATCATTCATCTTTATAAACATATATTTTTTTTTTATTTAAAAATGAGAAATATTTTACTATTTTAAGGACCACATTTAGTCCTCAATCAACTATAAAGATACCCTTTATTTTAATATACCTTAGCAGATTTTATGTTATTTTCATGAAGTTGGCTTTCTTTTTTAATTTAAATAGCCATCATTGTATTGGTTGATATCAAACTGTTTTCTTTATAGAAAATAAATTAAAAAATTAACTAAGGAGATAATTTGCAAAGGAAAATCAAAGTGCATTCTTGTAAGGTCCACATTGCTCATTTATTAATTATGAATCTCCTATTTGTTCATATTTTAACTACTCTATATTAGGGTATGTGAGTGTTCATGTTTGAGTTCATTTATTATCAACTTGTTCAAGTTTGGTTCGTGTTTGATTCGAGCTTTATTTTTTGTGTTCATTTTTTGTTCGCTTAAGTCAATAGTGTTCATTTTTTGTTTATGTTAAGTTCATGTTCAGTTCGTTTAGTGCTTAATGATAAACGAGCTCTACTTCTAGATGTACATTAACTTAACAAAAGAGCTTTATCAAGCCTCCTAACAAACAATTATATCGAACTTGTTCGTGAACATATTTAACAATTTTTTTTT